AAAAAAAAAAAAATAAAAATCCCTGTATATGTATCAAATAGTCTCCTGGTACACGTTATGAACAGAGTAAAAAAATCCTTGTATTAAACCAGTAAATCAAATCCTTGTACAATATATTGAAATAGGAAATCAAGTCCTTGGAAGTGTATTAAATAGTAAAATATCCCTGTGCAGGGGATTAAAATAGCGGGGGGAAAAAAAGAAATTAAGGAAAATAAGGCAGTGGGCTGAACTTTTAGAATGTGTGTTTCCACCAGGCCTCTCCCGAAGCCCAGGGGTACAAAATTCCCGGGAATTCCAGGCAGTTCCTGCAGTTTCCAGGAACATCCCGGGATTCCTCCTTTCCCAGCAGGATCTGAGCTCTCAGGGCCCGAGTTACAGGGAGCCCAAAAGCCAGGCTGGGGTTCATTTCTGTCTGGAATTGGCTGAAATGGAGGTTTTTGGGGGGGTTTTTGTTTTTAACACACCTGGAAAAATCATCCCCTTGTTCCTCAGCCTTGGTGGGAGTGCAGAGACCGTGGAGCTCCATCGAAATCCATGTTCATTTTCATTATTACCCTTTATTTGATTATTATCTTTTATTTGATTCCCAGCCCTGGGAAGCCTGATGTGGGAGGGAAGGGGAGCAGAGAGGAGTCGAAGCAGGAGAGGGAAGTCCCCAGGGATTTGTGGGGACAGGAGAAGGTGCAGCTGTGCCTGACCTGGACCAAACCAGGGCCTTGGAGCTCATTTCCCCATCAGGCCCTCGCTGGATTCCTGCAGCTGGAGGTTCTTAACTCAGAGGGATTGGCCAAATTTTATTTAAAAAGCCCCCAAAACACCCAGCCAGGACCTGCAGCTGCTTTAACTCACTCGAAGGGATGTTTGTGTGATTGGTTTTATTTTCCTCCCCCCCAGAAATAAGGTATTTTTAACTCGTTCAGTGTAGTGTAAGGAAGTCCAGGATGGAACATTCCCGTAGCTGTGGATTCTGGCACGAAGCAACCTGTTGTCTCTGGAATTTCTTAGGGACAGGGATCTGAACTGTTGTTTTCTGGATTTTTGCAGTTCCTCAGGGACCCTGGCATGCCTGGCTTGGAGGAGCTGGACAATTCCCCGGAGGATGAGCCCCAGGCTCTTGTGGCTGGAGAAGGAATCCAAGCCTGGAGCAGCAGCCCAGGGTGACAGCTCTTCATTCAACACCCCCAGGGACAGGGAAACCACAGAAGAGCCACCCACTGAGTGTCCCCTGGCCCAGGGTTCCAGCAGCTGCTCCCAGGGCGTGGCTGCTGCCGGGACAATCCTGAGCAAAATATGGACCCTGGGATGTGTCTCAGGGGCTTCTCCTGAGCTCCCCCAGCACCTCGTTCTGCCAGAGACACTGAAAAGGAGGAACACGGAAGGGAAACGAACACTAAACTCCAAAAATGGTTAAATTCCCACCCCAGGTTGGAATACAGCTTTGAGGAATAGCAGCACTTTACAGGAGGGTGTAGGAGAACATGGGATTTTTCAGGGAGTAAATCATTGCAATGTAAATTCCTTTTATAGCTGATTTTCTTTTGTTGGCAATAATACTCTTGTTATATCCACCCCACTCTGCTTCTCTGAATCATTTTCAGCACATGGCAAACTAAAAAGAAATTTGTTAGTCCTTCCCTCTCCCCAGGATGAAGCTGTGCCACAAACTCCTCCCAGAGAGGCCTCCTCCCATCTGCTTCCTCACAGCCACACCAGTGCCCTGCACAGCCAAACAGACTTGAAAATAACATTTAAACCACGTATCAGTCATTGTCAGACACTAAAACCTCTTGTTCACCACCAGCAAATGGAAAGTTGGCTGAGAGGGATGTTTTGAGTGCCCTAAAGCAGAAGAGCCCACGTTCAGCCTCCTGTGGGGTCTGGAAGGTGTCCAATAAAGCACAGAGAACAAGTGAACCACTTCTGCACTAAAAAGATGGGGTTTAATTGATGATTTTTCCTGGGTTTGATACAAATTGTGTAAAAGAAAGGAAAGAAAGGGGCTTGTCTGTTTGCAGGTGACTCCCGGGAGCGGCCTGGGCCCTGTCAGAGCTGGGGGTAACTGAGGTGAGGCCCTTCCAGCCTTTCCAGGGACACTCCAGGCCAGCAGAGGCCAAAAGCTAAATGAGGTTAGTTTGCCTTGTAGAACTAATCTAATCCCCTGGGATTAGGCAACCTGCTGGCACAGGGGAGTTCTGTGAGGGCTGAGTCACGTTTCATGGCTGGAGGATTGTTTGAGCTGCAGAATATCTGCTTTGAACCACCCCCTTCTCTGGGCTGGGCTGGGCACAGATGGGGAACCACAGCTCACAGCAGCAACCACCTCGTGCACAACAGAGGGCACAACTGTAAAAACATCTCCTGGGAATATACATATATATATATATATATATATATATATA